CATGAACGCGGTTTGTTGCGCGTGCTCGCGAAAGGGCGGTACTGTCGCCCGTGTGCGCTTGCGCCAAAGCGTGCTTACTCAAGCGGGTGAGTATTCGCGCGCGCACGAGCCTGAGCACGTGTCGACCTCATCTGGGCAATGATACAACCCCAAGCACAGGCAAGTCCACGCATGGATTCGTGAAAAAAGAAACGTAAACCAGGAATGGCTGGCGGACCATGCCAACAAGCGGAGCGACAGAAAAAGAGCTGCGCGCTGCTAACACAACTCTCGATCATGATGGGGTCAGCGCTCGGCTGGTCTCATGAAATATCTGTGAGCTCGCGGGAAGGCTGTTCCCTCTACCGACGTGCAGCATACACGGGTCTCTCGTCCGAGTCCACCAAACCTTTCTCCGCACGTCCACCCCCCCACCCGCGAAGAGTGGCCCGAATGAGTCAGGCAAGTACGACTCAAGGGTTCTGCCATGAGGGACAGGGGTACCGATGGGAACGGATCCTGGACGCTGGCGCTTTCCATGGGACCAGCTTCTCACTCCGAGTCGTTGGTTGACGGTCCTGGCGCCTGGAAGGGACTGGGAAGGGACGGGCGAAGCGGCGAGGCCGAAAGCGTCGGAAGAAGTGAAGAGCCCCTTCTCTCAGCACCCCTGCGCGCTCAGGGCCCCCCTTCCTGGACCAGAAAACAAAACGGCACCACCCCACCTACGGCCCCACAGGCCGTAGCGTATGTCAGGACGTCTGGCGTGGGTTTCTGCATGGTATACGCCACGGCCCCCGATGGACCGTAACGCAACATGGCAGGCCGTAGGTGGGGTGGTGTCGTTTGTTTTTTGGCCGACTTCCTTCGTGGAAAGAGTCGCGTGAGCGCGGTCGCGGCAGGGACGCTGGGTAGCAGGAGCCACGATGCAAGTTCTGCCAGCCATCCAACTCCCGAGGGCCCCACAACGGGCCACGGGCAGCCAAATCGCCTCTTGAGGCCCATTCCGCTGCACCACCCACCAAGGTCGCAAGGGGCGAATAGACTCTCAAATGCCACGACGGGCAGACGCAACCAAACTGATCCCCCATCGCAAACATCAACATGTTTCCGTGCTGAATCTGCCGCTCGCGCGCGTGCCGGTCGCGTCACGAGACGAGTGAAAGAGATCGCAAAGAAGATCCGCAACCCCAATCGGGAGGGGTGAAGGCCGATGCTGCACTATGCAGCCCTGCACCGCCCAGACCGGAACAGCGCCCCCCAGAGCAGCGTCGCAGCGCATCACCAGCTGGGACGTCAACCGCAGCTGGCACGTCAACTGCACGCCAGGAGCAACCAAACTGGGCCCCACGCCATAGGCCATAGACGCACGCGGGACCACAGACCACAGAGGCGGCCGAGTCGACTCCTGGGCTCCGCCCCACTCCAGACAATACGAGGACCACGAGGTGCCACAAAGGGCCGCGGGGCCGTAAGAGCTGGTGAGCCGACTGGACCCACACAGGAGGCTCCTCTCAGCCCGTTATCTGGAAAGTCCTCTTTCCCCGCGGCTGCCTGCGCGTGCCACGGCCAAAGTCGTCCCATCCCCCCTCCTCCTCTCGCCCGCTGCCACAAAAGTCCTTGTTTAACAGCCTGGGCTCCCGACGACCAAGGCCGCCCCCTCCCCTCCCCCCATCCCCTACTCCCCCATCCCCTCTTCCGCTGCCGGGAATGTCTCTTCGCCCCTCCCACCGCAGACAACTCTTCCCATGGCAGTGGCCGCCATCGGCCAGGACCGCTCTGTCCCATCCTCGTGATCATCCTTCCCCACCCCCGTTCCTTCACATCCTCCTCCGCCTCCTCTTCCCCCGAATCCTCAACGATAACCCTCGTCATTTGGGCCGTCTGGGCGGGGAGGGAGGAGAGGGATAGCTTGTCTCCGGAGGAGGAGGAGCAGGACGTCAGGGCGGAGACGGGAGCACGACAAAGAGGCGGAACGCAGGAGCATCGACGGCACCCGGCCTCTTACCGTGAGGTGAGGCCAGGTGCCGTCCACGCTGTGGCGCTGGCAGGGGGAGGGGGCATGGCCGCAGAAGGCCCTGGCCGCGCGGGAGCGATCTTGGACTCGCGACGGCATGGCCGAGAGCAGCGGGGGGAGACAGCGGTCGCGGCCGAAGGGCGACGGTACGCTCGGGGGGCTGCTGGGCACAGAGAGGGCCGCGGCCCCAGAGGCCCCCGACGTGGGGGTCGGCCCACGGCCCCACGTGGTCCCTAGAGTGTGGGGGGGGGGGCTGCTGCCCCCCACCGGCTGCCCATCGTCAAACTCTTCGACGTCTGAGCGTCCCTCCTTCCTCTCGGCCGTCCCCCCCCCCCGCTTTGCTCGCCGGCCAATTCGCCAGTTGGTGCCCCTACCCAGCTTCACGCTGGAGCGGAGTTCGCCGCCTCGCCGCTGACGAAAAAAGTGAGGGGGGGGGGATGGCGTGCTTTCCAGGGTGAATTTGCCAGAGCGTGGCCCCAGGGCCCCACGTGATCCTTGCGCGAGGGGTGGCAGCCAAGAGCTGACTCGGTAGCCCGGCGCGCGGCCATTGACGGCCCTCGCCGCGACGGGCAAACGAATCGAAAGTTGCGATTGGGCGACGAGGGAGATGCGCGACACATGCCGAAGCCAAGCCACTATCTCGCCCCAGAAGATGAAAGCGCCTACTTGTTGTCATGACGGATACCCGGAGTACAGCCACGCCATGGACGACAAAACCCCTTGCATGACCAAAGACGCGACTACAACAGAAATCTGTGAGAGGCCTGCCTGTGTGCACTGGAGCTGCGACTTGGCAATTCCAGACTCCGCCCCGTACACTGAGTGTAACGACCGAGCCAGCGCTTACAAGCCAAGCCCTCGCGTCGTAAGCGATAACAACCGGCCTCCGGGGAGACTGCAGGGCACCTCGGACGGCGACGGACTGCAGCCCAAGGCCAGATCGGACCGTGCTCCAGAGAACGCGCACTACATTGCAAGATTGGGGCGCAATATCCACAATTCGGACCCCCAAGCTCATCGGCGGACCCCCGCAAGACAGAATCGAACTCCGGCCAGCCCCAAAGACGAGTACACCATAAATTCGAGCTACGAAAAAGATCGATCATAAGAAAACAATATCTGGAAACCTCGTTATCTTAACCCGCGGCCTGGGTCTAGACATATACAGACATGTAGGCTCCAAACCCAAAAGAAATCCGCCGATCCGGCGTGTGCACTACAAGGAGCCTCAGCAAGAGCTTCAGCTCTGAGCCTAAGCAAAAGCTTCAGCTCTGCTTGGGGGGGTCGCCAGGGTGGCACTGCCAGGAAGGGGGGGAAGGGGGGGGGGGGGGGGGCGGTCCCCCATCTGGCGTTTTGTTTATGATTTGCGCGTCCCCAAGACGTTTCGGGGGGCCCGGGCAGGGGGGTAAGGGGGGGGGCGGTCCCCCATCTGGCGTTTTCTTAATGATTTGCGCATTCCCAAATGATTTGCGCATTCCCGGGGTCGCAGGGACCCCCCTCAGATCTAGCCGGTGCCGCCCTCAGGACCCTCCCCTCGGAACCCTCCCCGGACTGCCCCTGGGACCTCTCCACGCACCCCCCCAGCGGGAACGAGGACGAGCGAGGACGGAGGGGGGAGCGAGCACGCGACGCAAAGGGGTCAGCGGGAGGCAGAAGATAACGAGAACTAGGGAGAAGAAAGAGGACCAGAAGAGTCGAGGAGGGAAGAGGCCACAGAGCCGCGAAGATCACCGAATCTGGAGCCCCCCGGATCGGCGGCAACGGTCAGAGGCCATTACAAAAACATATACAAAGCCATAGCACGTCCTTGCGAATCCAGCAGAACAGGATTCTCTTCTAACCTTCGAGTACACGAAACGACAGCGGAGTGAAATATGGCAAATCGGAACCAAGACAAACGCATGGAATCCGGACCAAATACGTGTCACATAGGGTTTCGGATTTCGTCTTCGTCTTGCTCCTGCTCGTCTGCTGCTTCTCCTTCTCCTCATCCTGCGCCTCCCCTCTAACTTCAATGCTTAAGAGAATCTGCATGGTCCGCCCTGGATGCGAGACTTGCCTATAGACGCTCAGAAAAATCGGACCCTGGCCCTGAGGCCGCTTCTGCTTAATAATGCTTGTGGGTACAGGCAGTGCCCCCCCCCCGCAGCGGCAGCTACGTTTGGTCCGCGGCAGCTGGCTGCTGCCCCACTAGGCGCGCGGCATACACCAGTGGCCTTGGAAGGGCCCCCCCCCGAGCGAGCACCATCCTGGGCAGGCTCGCCCGATCATTCTCGGAGCAGGGGAGCGCTTTGCCGATCCAGACCTCGACCGACAGTTCCGAAAGAAGCCCAGGGAAGGAACGGCGACCCGTGGTCGACGATCGAAGCTCATCCAGACTTAGGCTGGGCATGTCCTCCTACAGGCGGATCTCGGACGAAAACTAAAAGATGCTCCAAGCATATCCACGCATAACCTAGAATAGCAACAGAAGAAATAAATCGTCCCCAGACTACTTTTGGACTGTTTCTTAACATTCCTCCTGTAGGAGGGCATGCCCGACGTAAGGCTAGGGGAACGAACCTCGTGTGGACACAACCCGTCGGAGCTCCGCGCGGATCTCATGGATCGGCGCGCGGAGCACGCCCAGGGCCGCCGCCAGAGGCGCCGCCAGAGGGGCCCCGAACGCCGATCCAAGAAAGCCACGCGGAAGAGGAGGAGGAGGAGGAGGAGGAGGAGGAGGAGGAGGAGAAGGAGGAGGAGGAGGAGGAGGGGGGGAGGAAATTCGGGGGCGCGCAGACATGGACTAGCGATCCATGCATGTGGCGCGCGGTCGCCAAATCCATGGATCGGGGGAGGTGCCCTCCCCAAAATGCAGCCGGTGCCGCCTCACCCGGCGGCGGAAATGCGCGATTTCCCATGGAAACTGGACAGGTCGCTAATCCACGCCCCCCTAATCCGTATTTGCGATCGCCTGACTGTCGTCTTCAATCATCCGCGGGTCAGGGCCGTCTGAGCTGGTGACAATCAGCGTCTTGCACAGCTTCGTGCAGGACAGGTCAGGCAGCGTCTGCAGCTGCGTTCTCTCGTGCGCGAAGCGGCAACCGTCGCCTTACTGTTCGCCGCACTCCACCCCCGCCCCAAGGTGGAACCCCAACTGGTGCAGAGGACGGGATGGGGCGCCAGAAGAGAAGGAGAGAAAGGGCAGGGCAGTCTGAGTCTGAGCCTTCTCCTCTATCCGCCAACGGTTGCCATAGCAGGCCTGGGATCCCACCTGGTTGCACGTGCGCCATATGAAAGGGGGAGCGGTGTACATTGGAGGAGGAGGTGGCGGATGAGCAGGGATGGGCAGGGAGAGGCAGCAGTTTGGGAATTCAGAGAAGGCAGAGATGACAGTAGTGAGCGAGAGAGGAAGGGGGACGCGGAGGGGGGGATAAGGGAGCAAGCACACGGGATAAGAGAAAGGAGGGCACGGAGAAGAGCGGCGGCGTGAACGCAGAAGGAGAAAGGGATGGGTGTGGAAAGGAGAGGGAAGGGAGGGAGGGAGTAAAGGAGCGAAAATAGAGTGATAGGAGAGTTCATAATTCGAAAAGACTTGGCTCGAAGGCCGGCTCGTGCCTTCTATGGGCGAACGGAAAGCGTGAGGATCGTGAAGCCAAGAGATCGGGAAAGAAATGCGGGCTGAAAACTTCCACAGAACAACCTACAAGCAACTCTCGGCTCGAATTGTTTGTAGCGCGCACCAACGAACCCCCCAGCGAGAAGGGCAAACAAATGATGGACGAGGGAGCCGGAAGTGGGAGGACTCATTAGGATTTGCATCACTGGGCAAGTGTAGAGGAAGAGTCGTAATCATGGCGGCCAGTGAATGGCCAAATGCGCAACAGTGGCGCACTACCCTCACGACCTTCACAAGGTAAGACGTTTGTAACCATCCCGTATCTCTGGGTACAGTCACCCACCAAAAAGCCAATACCCATACCATCCAGAGGGTCCTGGCCAGGGCCATCGCGTATTGCCACAAAGACGGCGAATTCTGAGAGCAGCGACCAGTCCAGGTAGTGCAAGCACATACTGTCACAGCTAATGAACCAGAGACGCCTTGCAAGCGTGTCTCATACGCCTCGGCCGCCATGCAGAACCAAGCTCAGTAGGTCCGTATGGGTCTCTGCGCGAACCTGCACATTCGTCAACTGAAGCACAGATGCGTGCTCGAGCGTTACCACAACCATACATGTACACGTCGTTCATTTCTAATCGTGCTCATTTCTAATTGTGCTCGTTTCTAATTGTTCCTGGCCCCCTAGTGGCCAGAAAGAGGCCCAGGATAGAACAATTAGAAACGAAAGGATCTTGGCCCCAAAAAAATTCAAAGAACTCTCGAAGAATTAGAAATGAACAGCGTGTACGTGCAAGCACGCACCCTCCGGGATGTCTCTGACGCGCGCTCCTGGAAAGCAGCCCGTGCTGGGCTGGCCTCCTCGAGCTCGGCCCGCGGGCCCGCGCCGCGCTCGGCTGCTGCACGGCACGCGCCTCTGCGCGCGCCCTCGCTGCGCCGCAGCGCGGCCCGCCGGCGGACTCGCCGGCAGCGCGCCGGCTGGCGGCAGCGGCAGCAGCAGCAGCAGCCAGGTCCAGGATGCAAGCGACGAGCTCCTCCGCCACCAGCTCCGCCCTGCCCTGCACACCCAGAACGGCCGATGGTGATCTGGTTTCGGCTACACGTAAGAGTGACCCTGGGCAAGATTGACACTGTGGCCGCTGGAGCCGAACTGATCCGAGCCCGCTGCTTGGGCGCCCAGCGCCAGCGGATGCCAGCTGCCCGGGAACTCGAAGGCACAGCGGACAAGGCGCCTGATCATCTCCGCCCTGCCCGTCTCCTTGGCACCGAGATCTGCGGGGCAGTTCCTGCCGGCCGCGTTCCTCGTGCCCAAACCCTTGGCCGCGACCCGCTGCTGGAGGCGAACATGACGAGCACGCGAACGTCTCGTGCGGCCGATGCCGCGCCCAGAATCAGCACCATTCGATGCCACGCACCTCGTCTTCAGCCTCGACTTCACGCCCTGCTCAGCAGCAGAGAAGTGGCACCCAAAACTTCAGTCCAGGGCTCGCGTTGACACCCGCGCGATCAACGCGAACTCCGCGCCCCCCCTGCTTGAGAGGCCGCCAGGGAGAGGAAGTAGGCGCGACAGCGCGCCGCCCTCGGACTTGACCCCAGGCCAGGCTCTCTCTTCGAACGGGTCCCACCCCACAGAGGGTGGGACCCGTTCGCCCACCAATGTTCTCAGTGATCCGTTTGGGGTCCACAAGTTCCGGCAGCGAGTCGACTCTTGCCGAAACCGATACCCATACCCCCTGCTTGAGCGAGCGAGCGCCCGCCCGCACGCCCACCGCGCGCCTGATCGTGCACGGCCCGCGGAGGGAGAACTGGCTACAGGCGCGCCTGCAACTCGAGAGACTCGCCCGCGAAACCGGGTCTGTATAAACGTCCACGTTTCCGACGCCCCAGCGAATGTTGTAAAACGGCGCGCACCTTTTATCGCTCCCCAGTGCGCGGCCTTCCCCGAGATCCTAGCGTCGCCCTCGTAACCTCCTCCTCCTCCTCCTCCCCCTCCTCCCCCTCCTCCTCCTCCTCCTCCTCCTCCTCCTCCTCCTCCTCCTCCTCCTCCTCCTCCTCCTCCTCCACGCCCGCGTTTCCGACGCCCCAATGAATATTGCAAAACGGCGCGCACCTTTTCCGCTCCCCTGCGAATAATCTGGTCACCCTCCTCCGCCGCAGGCTACGTCCCGGCGCACGTTCGCAACCTCGCGCACACAGTGTGGGGGTATCCCGCGCCAGAAGCCCAGTATCGCGCATGTTCTGCGGCGCGCAACTCGACAGACTCGAGTGGGCCATCAAGGCAGTCGCTCTTCGTCGCCTTTCCCATTGTAATAAATATCTTGGCCGCGTTGGTCCCCAACCCCAGTTCTGCCGCAGTTGTATCTGCATGTCTGAACCAGCGGACGAAGCTGACGATGTCTCGCCAGTGGTCAACAAGATGTTCAATCTCAGATCTGAATCAGCGGACAAAACTGACGATGTCTCGCAAGTGTTCAACAAGATGTTCAATCTCTGAATATGTTCTTAAGAATGGAGGGCCCAGGGTGAAATCCATATGGGCTTGCGCACCTCGAAAATCAATCCGTCATGTGATTCACTGCTTGCAGATTCAAGCCTCGAAAATCCTTCGAAACGGCATTTCAGATTTCACCCTTTGCCCTCCACCCAAAGAAAATGCTCCGAATCTAGTCGCGCGTTGATCACCGCCAGCACGTGGCCCGAAGACGTCTTTCCTGGTGACCAGTGCGCGCGTCTTGACTTCTGCCACCGGCCCAGTGAGATAATCTACGCCTTCGAAGTCGAAGTCGACATCGCGAACGTCTTGACTTCTGTCACCGGCCCAGTGAGATAATCTACGCCTTCGAAGTCGAAGTCGACATCGCGAACCGCTCCCGACGAGTCCATTCCCGGACGCGCGCGTGCGCGTGAGAATCAGACGCCGCCGCGGCGATCTTCGCCTCGCCCACCTTGTCGCAATGGCACTCCCCAAAGGGAGCCGCCACGTCGCGCATCGCGCGCGCCAAGCGCGGAGGGTGCGCCAGAATCGCTGGATGCGAAAGGCGAGCCAGGCGCGCCAGGTGAGCCAGAGGCACCAGGTATGTGCCGAGTGCGCCAGGTGCGCCAGAACGCCGAGTGTGCCAGGCGCGCCAGATGTGCGCCAGCTGTGCGCCAGCTGTGCGCCAGCTGTGCGCCGTGCGCCAGCTGTGCGCCAGCTGTGCGCTAGGAGCAGCCTCCGCCAGGGGTGGGCCAGGCACCAAGATACTGCGCGCCAGCCGCCCTGGCGCGCACCCGTTCCATGCTGTGTACCTGCTGGGGCGCCCACCGTAGCCAAGCAGAGCCGCGCGTATCCCAAGTGCGCGGACGCTCTCGCACTCCGCTGGGTTGCTAGGAAGCCGCGGGGCGCTCGATCGCCCCGAGAAGGCTACGACGCCTAAAGGGTAACAAGGGCGCCCGCCCCCTTTTCTTCCTCCATCTCCTCATCCTCCTCATCATCATCGTCATTATCGTCATCATCATCATCATCATCATCATCATCATCATCATCATCATCAGCATCATCATCATCATCATCAGCAGCAGCAGCAGCATCAGCATCAGCATCAGCATCATCATCCTCATCATCATCAGTATCATCATCAGCATCATCATCAGCATTATCATCAGCATTATCATCAGCGTCAGCATCAGCATCAACATCATCATCATCATCATCATCACCATCAGCATCAGCATCAGCATCATCATCAGCAGCATCGTCCTCATCCTCATCCTCCAGATGTTCCTCCTGCTCATCCTCAGTTTCCCTCCACGCGCACCCCTTTCTCCTCCACCCATCTCCCTTATAAATAGCTCCTTCGCTCTGGGCGTTTCGCACGAAACTTCCTCAACATGTATGGCCCCGAAACTTGACATGTGTAACAACTGTACGGATGGCGGGCTAATCGTTTTCAGAGGGGCTATCGCCCTTGCGCTGCGCACATTCACGCAAGACATGCTCGTCAGCTACACGGATTCTACCCCATGGATGCTCCTCAACAGTGATGCCCCGGGTTGTCGAAACGCATAAGTTCCTTCACTAAATGGGGATGTCGCTTCACAAATCCTCAACAACAAGGCTCACACGGATGGGGGAAAGGGACTATCTGAATGTGGGGCGGTATTCTTGTAAGGTGGCGCTCCCAGTAGCGAAAAATAATGCGCGTAATGAGGAGGAGACTTGGGACGCGCGATTGACTTAAAGCATTGTTGCATTGTTGGCGCTTCCTGGGTTTACTCTTGTCTTCCTCCTCGTAACAACTTCTTCCTCCTACAAAGTTCGCACCATCAAACGTGTCGATAGAACGATCCGGGCGTTTCTCCAGACTTCAAACCATCTGCAGGCCCAAAGCTTGAAATTTACACGAACTACCATGGTTGATGGTGTAATGTTCAACCAAATGGTTCTCGCCCTAGCGCCGTGTACATCCATTGGACGTGACTCCTACAGCTAGACGCATGGAGGACGATTGGTTTTCAGCATGTGGCTCTCGCGTCAGCACCGCGCACAGTCGTCAGATAGCATTCCAACGGCTACACTGGGTAAAGGCGGCTCCTTTTCGAGATGTTGCTCGCGCGTAGCCTTTCGCGAATAATGTGAAGGTGCGCAACAACTACAGGGGTGGAGGGCGGATCTGTTTCGAAATGGAGCTCTCGCGAAAGTCCGCCCCAACGCAAATGGTCACAAAATATCCTGGCGAAGGACTCAACCACATGCAAATGCGAGAAGCGCAGGAACGATGCTAACAAGAGGGGGGCAAGCACGAGGACTGGGACGTGGATGAAAAGGACGAGGACGAAGTCCCAACCATGTACAGCTGCGAGTTGCACGAGACAGGTGCTATGAGGGGGGCAAGCAAGAGAACTGTGACAGTGGCAGGAGGGCCGGACATGAGAAGTGAGGTCGAGCAAAGATGAGCTCCATGTTCGTTTCATCATGCTCCGTCGAGCGCCGTACAGACATCGTCTGGATCTGCGCATTCACAGCACTGGCGGGGAGGGCAGTATTGACCAGAACGAGGGAACTTCTTACGGGGCCACGAAACGTGTGAGGGGTGTGCCGATGTGTGACTGGGAAGCATACGAACACAACCACAGGTGCATTCGGTGGAGCTCCCTATGGGACCACGAAACGTACGAGGGTGCTCCCCATAGGACCACAAAGCGTATGAGTGGCGTGCCAAGATGGGGCGGGGCAGCATACGAACACCGCCACTGGTGCCGTCGACGGAGCTCCCTATGGGGCATGAATCGTGTGAGGGTGTGCTAGAATTGCCGGGGCAGCATGGGAACGCCGCCATTGCGGTCCTTGGTGGAGCTCCCTATGGGAGTGACGAACCGCGTGAGGGTGTCCAAACGAACGGGGCATCATGCGAGCACAGCCACTGGTGCCTGCAGTGGAGCTTTCCATGGGATGCGCAAAACGTGCGATGGATGTGCCGATATGCTCGGGGCAACCATGCGACTACCACCACTTGTGACTGCGGTGGAGCTCCCTATGTGGGCACCCACAGTGTGAGGGGTGTGCCGAAATGGGCGCGGCCACATGTGAGCACCGCCACTGGGGCCTTCGATGGAGCCTCCTTATTGGACCACAAAACGTGTGAGGGTGTACCGAAGTGGGCGCGGCAGCATGCGAGCACCGTCACTGGGCCTTCAGTGGAGCCCCCTAGAGGGCCACGAAACGTGCGACGTGTGTGCAGATATGCGGCGGGGCAGCAAACGAACACCGCCACTGGGGCCTCTAGTGGAACGTGTGGGGGGTGTGCTGGCATGGGCGGGGCAGCAAGCGAAGACCGCCACCTGGGCCTCCAGTGGACTCCGTATGGGGCCACGAAACGTGTGAGTTGTGTGCAGATATGGAGGGAGGCAGTATGCGAACACCCTGGTGCCTTCGGTGGATCGCCCGATGGGGCCACGAAACGTGTGATGGGTGTACCGAGCAGCATGCGAGCACCGCCGCTGAAGCCTTCGATAGAGCCCCATTACCCTGTTCTGGGGCCTGTGTGATGGTGATGGACCACAGAAGGCGTGATGGTGTGCAATATGAACCCCTATAGGGGCCAGGGAGCGTGCGAGAAGTGTACCAGAACGTACACACGAAGGGCAAAGGCAGGGAAGGGAGGGGAGTTCGGAGGAGGAGCGAGATGGATGAAGTGGAAGCGGAAGGTCCTGATTGAAATAGAGGATGGTACTCCAGACATAAGGTGGATTTTGGATTACATTGAGACGCACGGGCACGCCTTTGAGCCATGGGAGCACCAGAGAAACTCGATTGCCTAGTTGCTGCGCTCCACACGAAGTCTTAGCTCCAGGCTGGCGGCGCCATCAGCTTGGCCTACACAAGAACTGCGGCCGCCAGGGTTGCAAGTTGGGCGGATTGGTGTTCAACTGTTGCTGCGCAGGCGTTGCGCGAGGCCAGCATCACAAGGGTGAAGAGATGCTCCGACACGGTGTGGAAGACCACGACTACTCCAAGAGCGGATGGTGAAGGGAGCGAGGGGGAGGATGAAGAGGAAGAGCGTGATACTTAATGTGTTGCTGTTCTCGGCACTGCGTTCGTTGCTGATTCCACTCGTGACAAGATGTCTGCTATCAATATCAGATTGACGAGATCGCAAGGCACCAGATGATGATCAACTTCACAAGGGGGAAGCAGATTGCATACTTGTTCCGAGGGACTTGATGCATGCAGCGCGTGGCTGTCCATTCAGACCTATCGGGGTCAATCTTGCCCGTACCTGGCTCCAGAGAAGTTGTGCATCCTGTCGGCTTGTACACCCATATTGGCAGTGAGGTCGAGGCGAAAGGAGGGGACCTCGCTTACGCCAAAAAGCGTATCCGTGGGGCCAGTGATGCGTATGTGCAGATATGTATGCGCGTTTTCGGGTTGAGAGAGCTTGACATGACTGCGAAATATTCACTCCATGAATTGTTTTCTCCTGGTTGCTCTTCGATGCGCATTTTCGTTGCAGGTGTGAGCGCGCACAGGTCATGAACACCACTTGCACGCGCGTTCACGGGCGAATAGTCGATGTTGCTCGGTTCGATGGCAGCCAGAGGTCCAGCCATCAAGTGCGCAGTCAATTCAGCATTGATTCGATCGAGTACTTGGGTGGGCCGAACAAGTTTGATAAACAAAACTTGTTTGTACCACACTTGCTTATTTTGATTACTTGAATTATATCGGGATTGCATGTTATCACACTGTTTACCACACTCGTTGTTTTATCACACGTGCTTTTTATCACGCTTCTTTCTATCACACTTGTTTTTAGTATCACAAATATCTTTTTTATCACACTTGAGCGGAGAAGTCGTCTTCGCATGCTCCGATGGCCGTGTTGTCGCTTCGAGCCGAGGCAGACGGGCCGCTGCTCCCCCATTGATTGAGCAGGGACCGATCGTCACGGCATTTACAGTGGACTACCACGACTTGTTCTTAGAACCCAAGAATGGTTAAACTGTAAAAAACCAATGTTCTTAGAACATAAGCCCGATGTGTTAAAACAAAACAGACTCAGCCAGAAATTAAGAACATGTCGTGCGTCGTGCAAACCACAGAAGGTTCTTAGAACATTGTTTGGTGGGCCTATAGGCGAGCAGCAGGCCGCGACGGACTCAGGAGGTATCCACAGATGGTGGGAAGCTTCAATTCTCTTCGGGGTTCTCGCTTGAGACTCACTGGTGCGCAACACGTGCACGGATGCAGGCGAGCCACATTCGGAACACGCAGCTCTCGCCAGCCACCTCGTTGAACTGGATAATAGCACCCCTCTGGACTCATGCCGGCAGGACGGGGGAAGCGGATGCTCGTCAAAACGGGCACGTCGTCTGCCCCTCGTCTTTGAGGGCTGCGGCTCCCCTGATGGAAAAACGACTGCCTGTAGGGATTTACGCCTTCCGACGCGCGGGTGTTTTGCACCGTCGTTGATGCTTTTGGGGCTTCTATACTCTGGTCCGCATCCGCCTCCTGCTCCTCCACCCGTTCCTCCATCTCCTCCTCGTCCTGCTTCTCTTGCTTCTGACTCCTCCTCCTCGTCCTCCTCATCATCATCCTCCTCGTTCTCCTCCTCCTCGTTCTCCTCCTCGTCCTCCTCCTCCTCCGCCTCCTCCCTCTCATCCTCCGCATCCTCTTCCTGCTTCCTCCTTGCTCATACCCTCCATCCCTACCACCATTCCTCCCTCTCTCCCCTCTTCAGGACAGCATTGCGCCACTCCCTGATCCCACTCCCTGATCCCAAACCACGGCAGCGTAGCGCCCAAAGGGACCAGGCCCAGGGGGGCGCGTGCTGCGGTAAAGCGGTCGCCCTTAGTACAGATCCCCATGATGTGGAACTTGCACATCTTGGTCTTCTCGAAGACCACAATCCGCTCCGAGCGAGCCTCGTGGAAGGTTCGAAGATCGGACTGGCAACTCGAATCGTTCGAGGAATGATGGTGAGTGCCCGAAGTTTGTAATTCCATGGTACTATTGGGCCAGGTCCAGGAATTCCCTGCCAGGCAAGACTTCCATATGAGACCCCCTAGGCCCAAATTGGCCTTCCGAAGAGCACAGCCACAACTGGAACCCCCAAAATGCGTGTCGCAGGGATACATATCCAACCAACCCTCCGGTGCCACGCAGGAAACACACAAACCATGCTCACCGTATCCTCGGGCCACCCCCGCAATTGCTCACCAGAACGTTTCTCAAGTCAATCAGCCAGCCCCGTTGGAGGCAGAAGGTTGTGAGAGATGCCGCTGGGCTGGTGTCTTGTTGTTTTGTCATGTTGACTTTGAGTTTTGCAGGCGAGAGTTATATCCATATCCACTGCGTCTTGGACTTTCTGGAGATGGGCGTCAAAAGGCCGAGGCGCAGTGGATGTGGATAAAAATGTAGCCTCTATTGGGGCATGATGTTTTCCTATAACCACTGCGCCTCGGGAGTCTGGAGAAGGTGGCCCGAAACTCCAAGATGCAGTGGATATGGATACAAATTTTGCCCGCATCTTTTGCTGCTGTTCCAAATCGCTTGTCCGTGAGGGTCATCCACAATGCACCCACAGTGCTGCTCTGAGGGGCGACGATAGGGGGGGGATAGGCATAGGGGGGATGCATCGACCTGGAATCGGCGATACATCGTCGATATATCAGCGCCCCGATAGTGAATCCGCATCATCCTTGGCGGGGTGGTGCTATCGGGCCCCTATCGGCAATCAATGGGTGATTGGGGGTCGCTGCATCCCCCCCCTATGCCTATCCCCCCATATCGTTAAGTCGGGCGTGTCCCCCTCCAGGCGGGTTTTGAACTAAAGCAACTCAAAAATAGCTGGAATTAGTTACAAAATCGTCCCCATATTATTTCCCGACTATTTTCCCCAACCATCCTGTGGTGTTGGGTCCTCGTTTTGAAGAGACAGCGTCCCGCGCCTCCTTCGTTCCTGCCTTCCTTCCTTCCTCCTCCCCCCTCCTCCCAACCCCCCCTCCTCCTGCCCGCATGCGGTTCCCCCACCCAGGGCAGCGCTTCTTGGCCCCATAGGGAGCTCCACCGAAGGCCCCAGTGGGGGTGCCCGCATGCGGTTCCCCCACCCAGGGCAGCGTTTCGTTGCCTCATAGGGAGCTCCACCGTAGGCCCCAGTGGGGGTGCCCGCATGCGGTTCCCCCACCCAGGGCAGCGCTTCGTGGCCCCATAGGGAGCCCCACCGAAGGCCCCAGTGGGCCAGTGGGGGTGCCCGCATGCGGTTCCCCCACCCAGGGCAGCGTTTCGTGGCCCCATAGGGAGCTCCACCGAAGCCCCAGTGGGGGTGCCCGCATGCGGTTCCCCCACCCAGGGCAGCGCTTCGTAGCCCCATAGGGAGCTCACCGAAGGCCCCAGTGGGGGTGCCCGCATGCGGTTCCCCCACCCAGGCAGCGTTTCGGGCCCATAGGGAGCTCCACCGAAGGCCCCAGTGGGGGTGCCCGCATGCAGTTCCCCCACCCAGGGCAGCGCTTCGTGGCCCCATAGGGCGCTCCACCGAAGGCCCCAGTGGGGGTGCCCGCATGCGGTTCCCCAACCCAGGGCAGCGCTTCGTGGCCCCATAGGGAGCTCCACCGAAGGCCCCAGTGGGGGTGGCTGCATGTGGTTCCCCCACCCAGGGCAGCGCTTCGTAGCCCCATAGGGAGCTCCACCGAAGGCCTCAGTAGGGGTGCCCACACGCGGTTCCCCCACCCAGGGCAGCGCTTCGTGGCCCCATAGGGAGCTCCACCGAAGGCCCCAGTGGGGGTGCCCGCATGCGGTTCCCCCACCCAGGGCAGCGCTTCTTGGCCCCATAGGGAGCTCCACCGAAGGCCCCAGTGGGGGTGTTCGCATGCGTCTCCCCTACCCAGAGGTAGCGCCACCGAAAACGATATTCAGATTTGCGGTATTCACAACTGCATATGGTTGGGTCCTTCGCCAGGCTAATTGAATACTCCTCCTGTAGAGGGACACGCCCGACTCAAAACCCTATCGTTGCCCCCGATGCTCAGGCCCGACGCGAGGTCCCCTGGGTGCAGGAATCGGTTGCCTGGTGCCCGTAGTCTCCCGTATGGTCTCCCGTATGGTCCCCCGCACAGTCTCCCGTGTGGTCTCCCGTATGGTCTCGAGAGGAAAGAGAGAGAAGGAGGAGGAAGACCATCAAATCCTCGTCCTCCTCCTCCTCTTCTTCCTCCTCCTCCACTTCATCTTCCTCCTCCTCCTCGCGAACTCCTCGCCCCGCCATCCTCAGCATCATCTGTTCCATCATCACCATCGGGTTGGGCATGGCGGCCGAAATTGCCGTTGGCAGCTGGATAATGGATGGGAAAGAGGGTGAGGATGAGAACATCAACCAACGGGGCGAATCCGATCGGGAACCCGTGCAACTCACACGATGCACATACTCCCGCACATGCCGCGCACACCTGCGCACGTCGACAAATGACTGCGCGTCCGTGAAAGCATGCCGCACGTCATGTTCGGGGCACACGCCGGGCACATACCCGCACGTGCCCGCACGTGCCCGCACATGCTGAATCAAAAATGACCGCACATACCTTTTTCCCCCAACCATCCTGTGGTGTTGGGTCCTCGTTTTTAAGAGACAGCGCCCCGCGTCCCACCTCCTTCCTCCGTCCTCCTCCTCTCCCTCCCCCCTCCTCCCCACCCCCCCTCCTCCATCCTCCCCCTCCTTGCTTCGTTTCTTGGCCCCACAGGGAGCTCCAGCGAAGGCCCCAGTGGGGGTGCCCGCATGCGGTTCCCCCACCCAGGGCAGCGTTTCGTGGCCCCATAGGGAGCTCCACCGAAGGCCCCAGTGGGGGGGGCCGCATGCGGTTTCCCCACCCAGGGCAGCGCTTCGTGGCCCCACAGGGAGCTCCACCGCAGGCCCCAGTGGGGGTGCCCGCATGCGGTTCCCCCACCCAGGGCAGCGTTTCGTAGCCCCACAGGGTGTTCCACCGAAGGCCCCACTGGGGGTGCCCGCATGCGGTTCCCCCACACGGGGCAGCGCTTCGTGGCCCCACAGGGAGCTCCACCGCAGGCCCCAGTGGGGGTGCCCGCATGCGGTTCCGCGCTCCACAGCAGGCCCCAATGGGGGTGCCCGCATGCGTTTACCCCACCCAGGGCAGCGCTTCGTGGCCCCATAGGGGGCTCCACCGAAGGCCCCAGTGGGGGTGCCCGCATGCGGTTCCCCCACGCAGGGCAACATTTCCTGGCCCCACAGGGAGCTCCACCGCAGGCCCCAGTGGGGGTGCCCGCATGCGGTCCCCCCACCCAGGGCAGCGTTTCTTGGCCCCACAGGGAGCTCCACCGCAGGCACCAGTGGGGGTGCCCGCATGCGGTTCCCCACCCAGCGCAGCGTTTCGCAGCCCCATGGGAGCTCCACCGAGGGCCCCAGTGGGGGTGCCCGCATGCGGTTCCCCCACCCAGGGCAGCGCTTCGTGGCCCCATAGGGAGCTCCACCGTAGGCCCCAATGGGGGTGCCCGCATGTGGTTCCCCCGCCCAGGGCAACGCTTCGTGGCCCCATAAGGAGCTCCACCGAAGGCCCCAGTGGGGTTGCCCGTTCCCCCACCCAGGGCAGCGTTTCGTGGCCACACAGGGAGCTCCACCGTAGGCCCCAGTGGGGGTGCCCGCATGCGATTCCCCCACGCAGGGCAGCGCTTCGTGGCCCCATAGGGAGATCCACCGAAGGCCCCAATGGGGGTGCCCGCATGCGGTTCCCCCGCCCAGGGCAACGCTTCGTGGCCCCATAAGGAGCTCCACCGAAGGCCCCAGTGGGGTTGCCCGTTCCCCCACCCAGGGTAGCGTTTCTTGGCCCCACAGGGAGCTCCACCGAAGGCCCCAGTGAGGGTGCCCGCATGCGGTTCCCCACCACCACCACTGTGGCAGGCCCCTCACACAGTTCGTGGCCCCATAAGGAGCTCCACCGGGGACTATATTCACAACTGCGGTACTCACAACTGCATATGGTTGGGTCCTTCGCCAGGCTAATTTCCACCGCGCACTCTTCTTCCTAAGCATTGGGCAAGTTACTGGCACAAAATTAAAGCACTTCTTCCTAAACACTGGGCAAATTACTGGTGCACAATTACTCCCGGAACAGGACACTGGAAATGAGCTCCGTGCATCTGTGTAGATTGTCTCTCCGGTCACGTCTCCATCATGATTTCTGCTGCGGGGGCGTGCCGCGAAACACACGAGCGACCCACGACAACGAAGGGATAAGCCCGCGCTTTGCATCCTCGTGCTCGTCGTCGGCGTCGTCACCCTCCTCCTCCTAATCCTCCTCCTCCTCCTCCTCCTCCTCCTCCTCCTCCTCCTCCTCCTCCTCATCATCATCATCATCATCATCATCATCATCATCATTAGCAGCATCATCGTCGTCGCCACCAGCATCATCATCACTACCACCACCACCACCACCACTATCAGCATCATCATCATCATCATCATCATCATCATCATCATCATCATCATCATCAGCAGCATAATCATCATCAGCATCAGCAGCAGCATCATCAGCAGCAGCATCATCATCGTCATCATCAGCATCATCGTCGTCGCCGTCTCATCATCAGCATCATTACCATCATCAGCAGTATCGTTAGCATGCTCATCATCATCGTCATCATCAGCAGTAGCAGCAGAAGCAGCAGCAGCAGCACATCATACTCAGCATGATCATCATCAACATCATCATCATCATCAGCATCATCATCATCGTCATCATCATCGCCATCACCACCACCGCCGCCACACTCATCATCATCGTCATCAGCATGATCAGCAGAATCGTCATCATCGTCAGGATAATCATCTTAATAATCAGCATCATCAGCATCATCACAATCAGCATCATCATCAGCAGCAGCATCATCGATATCGGCGTCGTCATCGTCATCATCAACAACGTCATGATCGTCATCATCATCATCATCATAAGCAGCAGCATCACCGTCATCATCATCACCACCGCCACCACCATCATCATCATCATCATCATCATCATCATCATCATCATCATCATCATCATCATCATCATCATCATCATCATCATCATCATCATTATCATCAGCATCAGCATCATCATCACCATCCCTCCCGCATCGCGCCACGTAAGCAGCCTCCAGATCCTCCAATGGTCGCCCATCGGGATGGCCCATCTTTTTGACACCAAAGACAGGCTTGTCCCTACCTGGAAATTCGACTTGACTGACTGAGGGACTTGACTGAGGACGTGCCACCGAGCGCTCCAGGGACGCGCCACGCGGCGAGCCAGGGACCCTGCAGGGGGACGCGCCGCCCGACGTGCCAAGGAACGCACCAGAGGACGCGGCAGGGGACGCGCCATGGGATGGCCAGGGGACGCGCCAAGGGACGAGCCAAACGACGTGCCAGGTGACCCTGCCGTGAGACTTGTCAGGGGGCGGGACAGGGAACGCGCCAGGAGACGTGCCAGGGGACGTGCCAGGGAACAGGCCAGGGGAAGAGCTGGGCGGACGCCCCACGGCGTGCCTATTCTGGTCGTCTTGGTCGCGCGTGTCGCGGCCGTGTTGCTCGTCATGGACGTCGTGGTTGTCGTGGTGGGTGCCGTGGGCTTTGTGGTTGCCGTGGGCGCCGCGATCGCGGGTGTCCTGGTTTTCGTGGGTGTCAGTGCTGGCGTCAGTGCTGGAGTGTGTGCTGACGTCAGTGCTGACGTCATCATCATCACCACCATCATCATCATCATCATCCTCACCACCACCATCATCATCATCATCATCATCATCATCATCATCATCATCATCATCATCATCATCATCATCACCATCATCATCATCATCCTCACCACCACCACCATCATCATCATCACCATCATCATCACCACCATCACCATCATCACCACCATCATCATCATCACCACCATCATCATCATCACCATCATCATCACCACCACCATCACCACCACCACATCACCATCATCACCACCACATCACCATCATCACCACCACCATCGTGACCCCCCCGCAAAGCGGCGGATGGGGCCTCGTTGTCCCTCTCGCCGTGGCCTCCCGCCGAGCCGCCCTCGCGGCGCTGCCTACGGCGCGTCATGCCGAGGGGCTGCCACGTCGGCACGGATCCCTAGCGGGGGCGGCACGCCCTCGACCCGTGGCCTCGCCAAGATCCGGGGGCGGAGGAGGAGGAGGAGGAGGAGGAGGAGGAGGAGGAGGAGGAGGGAAGGAGGAGGAGGAGGAGGAGGAGGAGGAGGAGAGGAGGAGGAGGAAGGAGGAGGGAGGAGGAGGAGGAGGAGGGAGGAGGAGGAGGAGGAGGAGGAGGAGGAGGAGAGGAGGAGGAGGAGGAGGAGGAGAGAGGAGGAAGGAGGAGGAGGAGAGGAGGAGGAGGAGGGAGGAGGAGGGGGAGAGGAGGAGGAGGGGGAGGGAGGGAGGGGAGGAGGAGGAGGAGGGGGAGAGGATCGGGGGCGCGCAAACATGGATTGATTAGCGATCCATGGATCAGGCCCGCGGTCGCCAAATCCATGGATCTGGGGAGGTGCCCTCCCCAAAATGCGGCCGGTGCCGCCTCGTTCGGCGGCTGAAATCCGCGATTTCCCATGGAAGCGGGAACCGTCGCTAATCCACGCCCCTTTATCCACGTCTGTGATCGCCTGAAAGATCGCCACTCGCCCACTTGCCTATCTCCCGACGCATCTCCCCCTCTACTTCCAACCCGTCGATGGTTGGGCTCCCGCTTCGAGTAAGGAACTCTCCCCTGACTCTGTCCAGGAGATGGTCCCGTCCTCTCCCCGTACTGCTTATACACGCCGCATTTCACGAGTTGATCATTCCTGTGCCTCGTCTTGCTTTCACTCGGAACGTTCTCGGTGTCTCAAAACCGCGCTCCCGCTGCGCGCTGGCCTCATTTAGGGTTCGGCGCTTTGCTCCCGTTGTTTCGAACGGCGCTCTCAGCGCTGACCTCATTTCCGCGCTTCCGCTCGTTCCGAATCGTGCTCCCGCTGCAGCGCTGGCGTCATTATTTCCAGTGCCATGCCACGGCATGGTTTTCGGTGTCGATTTGTTGACCTCTGGGCCGCAGAAGACCCGCCGTGCTATGTCATGCTACGCGTTGATCTCAACACCATGTTATACCATGTAATGCTATGCCATGCTACGACATCCGACTGTGCGAATAGAGAGGAGATCTACGCCACTGGCTTGCCTCCTCCTCCTCATCCTCCTCCTCCTCCACCTCTTCCTGCTCACCCTCCTGCTCATCCGCAATCTCCTCCTCCAATGTACACAGGCCTCCACTGTTGACTGCGCAGAACACGATGGGCCCTTCTGGAAGCTTCCACGTCCGCTATGGCACCCGCAGGCGGAGAAAGAAGAATCAACGCAGTGGGCATGGATGGGTGCGAGGGGTGTGATGTCAGATATGGTGCGAGCGCACCGAGCTTGTCTCCTCCCCCTCCTCCCTCCTCCCTCCTCACTCCTCCCTCCTCCCTCCCCCACCTCCCTCACTCCCTCACTCCCTCCCTCCCTCCCTTCCTCGTCGCTCATCTCCTTCTCCCTTCCCTCTCGCCCACGGGTGCTGCCAGGCGTGCACCTGCCGCCGCTCTCCTGATGGGCCCTGCCAACTGCCGCAGGTCTTCCTGCGCCCACAGTGGCGCCCAGCGCAGGGGGGGGGGGGCACGCGCGGGTCCAACCGTTATCCTCGCCCCTGTGTGTGCTGCCAGCTCGCTTCTGGCCAGCGGCGTTGAAGCGAACCCGTGGCCTCCGAGGCACGCATTGGGATGCCACGGCAAGCGAGGCAGGCCCCGATGAGAAGGAAGCAACGCGGAGGGAGGAGGGAAGAGGCCGCGGGCGGCGGGAGCACGCTCAGAGCATGTGGGTCTTCGCGTCTCCTCCTGCTCCTCCTCCTCCTCCTCCTCCTCCTCCTCCTCCTCCTCCTCCTCCTCCTCCTCCTCCTCCTCCTCCGCCTCCTCCTCCTGCTATTCCCCCTTCTCCCCTCCCCATCCTCCCTCCTCCTCCTCCTCCTCCTCCTCCCTCCTCCTCCTCCTCCTCCTCCTCCTCCCTCCTCCTCCTCCTCCTCCCTCCTCCTCCTCCTCCTCCTCCTCCTCCTCCTCCTCCTCCTCCTCCTCCTCTTCCTCCTCCTCCTCCGCCTCCTCCTCCTGCTATTCCCCCTTCTCCCCCTCCCCATCCTCCCCTCCTCCTCCTCCTCCTCCTCCTCCTCCTCCTCCTCCTTCCTCCTCCTCCTCCTCTCCTCCGCCTCCTCCTCCTCCTCCTCCTCCTCCTCCTCCTCCTCCTCCGCCTCTTCCCCCTCCTCCTCCTCCCTCCTTCCCTCCTCCCCTCCTCCTCCTCCTCCTCCTCCTCCTCCTCCTCCTCCTCCCCTCCTCCTCCTCCTCCTCCTCCTCCTCCTGCAACTCCAACTCCTCCTCCTCATCCTCCTCCTTCTCCCCCTCCCTCTCCTCCCCCTCAGTTGATCGGTGCCTGGTGGACACACACACACACACAGCAGGACGTTGGGGGGTCCCAGCAGAGGGGCTCGACACGCGGACCTAACTATTATCCTCGCCCCTGTGGGTGCTGCCAGACTCACGATTCGCATCTTCCCTGGGCCCAGGTAGGGGTCCACAGGAGCGGCGCGACGCGCAGGTCCAAGTTCTGCCCTTGCCACACCTGAGTACTGACGACTGTAGAAACAAATGCCGTCATTTTACTGCGCCGATCGGGGGTCCAGTGAAGTGGCGTGACACGAGGACACAACTATGATCCTTGCCCGCGTGGGCGCAAGGGATCGCACCACCTTCGGGCAACCCTGTGAGCCCCTGCGGAATACAATACCACAAGGGTCCAGCGTGAATGCGCCCCCAAGGATGCTGCCAAGCGTGCAAATGTCGCAAGCTTCTACACCCTGTGAGGGGAAAGCCGAAAGCTGACGCACGCGAGTCCAAGTGGGACGCACCGTGCCCACACGGCGCTGCCAAACCTACAGATGTCGTCGCGCTCCTGCCGCCCGAGAGGTCCCGCAGAGTCTTGACGCAAGCGAGTCCGCACGGGACTGCGCCACCTGTCATGCTGACGCGGCAATTGCCACGATTGTCCAGAGGACTGCAGTAGCACGCAGACCCAGACGGGAATTAGCCCCCGCGGAAGCTGCCAAGCGCACAAGTGTCGCAGCTATCCTGCGAGGAGGAGGAGGAGGAGGAGGAGGAGGAGGAGCAGGTGGGATGAGGAGAGAGGAGGGGACAGGAGGGGAGGAGGGGAGGAGGAGGAGCAGGGGGGACGAGGAGAGAGGAGGGGACAGGAGGTGAGGAGGGGAGGAGGAGGGCAGGAGGAGGAGGAGGAGGAGGAGGAGGAGGACCCAAGTAACATCCTCGCCCCAGCGGGTGCCGCCAAACGTGCAACCACCCCCACTATCGCCATTTTCCAGTGCCCCTCGGAAGTCTAGCGGAACGATCAACAATGAATTCTGCAGGGTATGGTGGGTAGGTTTGGTACGTGCCCGAATAAACCCACCGTGCCGTCGGCATCGAGTGGAACGTTCTGAATACTTCCCGGCTCCCTTACTCCCTTCCCCCCAGTTCCCCCTCCCAAGCGCACATGGACGCTCTGGGGGCAGCTCGTGAATGACTTGTCAGAGGCCCCCAAGACGCCCCAAGAGGCCCCCAAGAAGCCCCTTGAGGCCACCAAAAGGGCCGAAGGCCACTAGATAAAAGGGTCACTGGCAAGGTCATAAATTGGAAGCGCATGGGATTGAAACGCCGACAGCGGGATACAACTGGCCATGAAGATGGGGTGCCTTGGCCAAGGAGCAATGAGTAGTCGGTTGAATCCGAGTCCATCGACATTCTGCCCCACCGTCCCACACATTCCGCTTGCATCCGACTCTTCGAAAACCTGGGAGAGTCAGAAACCAACAACTCCACGCACCGCCCCCACGCAGGGTCCGCCAACGAATTCAGCTTGCAGCTCGTGGCGCGGGTCCGCGAGGAGAAGAAAGCGACTTGCACCTGCCTGCCAAAACGGCTGCGGAGAGCGGGAGAGCGGAGTGCCGCGAAATTGGAACCGCACAGAGATCGGCAGCAATCTGATGGTCCGCATACAAACTTCGCACCTCGGGACTCTTCCTCGCTATGCTTGCAGTAGGGACATTGGATAAGGAACCCCTAGCTTAGGAATCCAGGGTCTGGAAGCCAGTGGAACTCCACTCGAAGCTTGGCCATGGATATCACCGCCGCCCTCACCAGATAAGGAATCCTCCGGGGTCTGCAGCATCTTGGGCGCATTCGAGGGTCATCGGATGGGCCCTTCGAGGCTTCGCCTGGTGCTCGAGGCCTCGCCTGGTGGCTCCGCGCGGGCGCCTCGTGGGCGCCCACGGGCACCTGTGCGCCGGGGTGGGTCGGCGAGGCTCTGCCCCGTGGCCGCCCGTGGGCTCCTCGTGCGCTCCCCGCCCGCCGGCTGCATCGGCGAGGCTGCGCCTCACGGGCGCCTCGCGGGCGCCCCGCGCAGCCGCCCGGGCCCGCCGAGAGTTCGCCCGGTGGCCGCACGTGGGCGCCTCGCGGGCGCCCCGTGCGCCCCGTTGGGCCCGCCGAGGTCTCGCGCGACGCCCCGCCCGGGGGCGCCGCGTGGGCACCCGCTGCGCCAGCGTGGGTCCGCCAGGGTTTCGCCCGGCGGGCGCCTCGCGGGCGCCCCGTCCGCCGGCGGGGCCCGCTGAAGGTTCGCCCGGTGGCCGCCCGGGGATGCCCGAGGGGGGGGGACCGCTGTAGGTGTTCTTTCAAGAGAAACGAGCTGTCCCACCACCCTCCGCCCCCCCGAGGTCAACGGGTCCCCCTGGGGCACTGCAAGTTACATAAGCGTTCTGCCGCATCGTTCTCATTCATCTTCCATATAAATACAAACCGACAGCCCTAGGCGACTGGTGATCGACCCGCCCCCTCCACCCCATCTTCCCTGTCAGGTACCACCATGCACACCTAATGACAATAAAGCCCACACGCGCACGCTCATGTCGAAACCTGCCAACCCAAAAACATTCACAAGCATGTTGCCCATCAAATGCAGATGTCTTGCTCGAGCGCACTTGCTGAAATCATGGGAGGACAGATGGTTTGTGCAGTCTCGTCCAGCTACCGCCGTTCATCCAAGAACCCGGCGCATTTGCGTTGATGCAGCATGCTCCCAGCGCACGCCTCCGCGTCGAAAAATACAAGAGGGGCCACACGCGCGCGCCGCCACGCGCGCGTCGAACTCCGTCCAAAGCCAATGGTGTTCAACCCAATGCAAGATAGGGCCTTCTCATGCACATGAAAACCAAATGTTCTCTGACAAGAAGGTCACTGGTGTCTTGCATTTCTGCGCGCGCACACGTCCTCACCACTACTTTCACCAGCGCCATCGCATCACTGCCATCGCCCAATCGCCACCGTCGCCACCATCATCAGCCAACCACCTTCATCGCCGACTGGTGGACAATAACATCATCATCAGCAGCATCATCACCATCACCTTCATACCACCATCATCATCATCATCATCATCATCACAATCAGCATCATCATCATCATCATCATCATCATCATCATCATCATCATCATCATCATCATCATCATCCTCATCCTCAGCATCAGCATCAGCATCAGCATCAGCATCAGCATCATCCTCATCAGCATCATCATCATCATCATCATCATCATCATAAACATCATCTTCATCATCGCCACCAACATATCATCACCGTCATCGTACTCGTCATCATCATCATTAACATCATCAGCATCAGAATCGTCATCATCGCCATCGTCGTCACCAGTATTGCAGTCGTTGGCCTTGTCGCCGTCATCGTATCGCGAACACCAGTGTTTCTATCATCATCGTTGCCGCGGCTGCCGATGTCATCATGATACCGCGCCCGCCAGGGTCACCGACACGCACTGAAGCGCCCGCGCCCCAGCGCGGGGTTTGAGACGCGCTGGGAAGCCCCCATCAGCGAGCTCCCTCGCGGCCGCAGCAGCTGCGCCAAACCAACTGGCCGCTCTGCACGCGAAAAAGGCGCACGCCAGCGCGACAGCAGAGATGCACCAGCCAAGGCCATGCACTCACTGCAATCGCAGCCGCGTGGGTATTGCAAAACAACTTGCGGGTGGGAGGGTGGGATGATTGCGCGAGACGTAGAAATAGCTGTCACGAGGTAGCTTGCACCCAGTAGGATGTACCACATAGCTTGCGCCGGAAGGTTTGCACACCTACAGGCGGCTGTAGTTTGCACCACACAGAGTGCACCACACAACTTGCACCACAGATCGCGACACATAGCTTGCAACTCAGGGGTTCTCCTTTCCGAAAGAAGCCTAGACTCCACAACCCTCCCGCGCCCGGGATGCACCGTTCCCCATTTCTACATTGAATGCACATGCGGCGTTGCTCAATGGTTCATTGTCCATGAGAAACCATACCATGCCAGCCCGGCCCAGCATGCATCGGGGCCCCTGGCACCCCTGTCGAAGACGACCTTGCGCGCGCACTCATTGATCTCAAATAATTTGTTTCATGAGCCCCGTGCAATCAAAATCACGGCAATGTCCACGCGCGTTCGCCCGTGCATGAGTCTGACCAAACACGCTAATAACGCAAGCTAATCAATATAACTTCGTCGACCCTGAGCTGTTTGATCTAAAATATTGCAGATGCTCTGCCAACGCGCATTTGCTGAAATCCTCAGAAAAACCACATGACGTTAGCAAGTTCGCCCAGAATCCACATCATCGCCCCACCATGCGGCACATCCGCGTCGCGTATGCGGGTCACATGCGCGCGCTGCCACGCGAGCGCGTCGAAATCTGTCCAGGGCTATTGTTTTTGTTTTGGAGCACGTCTGCCAGAGTTCTCAAACTTCTGCGCGCCATCCGCCGCGAAGCCGTCCAAAACCAATGACTTTCGAACCGTTCGAACATAGGGCTCTTCACAGACGCATGGAACAAATGTGTGTGATCCAATCGAAAGTCTGCCAAGTGTCTTGACTGTCCGCGCGCGCGCACTTCTTCACCATCGCCCTCATCAGCGCCATCGCATCACCGCCATTACCGTAATCGCCAATCGCCGCCGCTGCCCCCATCATCAGCACAATCAACGTCATCACCGGCACATGAACATCAGCATCGTCATTGTCGTCACCAGCATCGGCGCCGTCATTGGCTTCGCCGCCTTCATCGTCACCATCGCCACCGCCATCGCTACTATCGTCATCGTTGCCACCGTTGTCGGAGTAATCACGATACCGCGCCCGCCCAAGTCACCTCCCCGAACTGAGGCGTCCGCGCGCCAGCGCAGCTTTTGAGACGCGTTGGGAGCCCCCATCGGCAAACGCCATCGCAGCCGCATCATTTGCGCGAGACCAGCTGGCTGATCTGCGCGCGAGCTTGCGCGTAGTGACAACAATCGCGGCCGCATTAGTTGTGCAAAACAGTTTGCGGGTGGCGAGATGGGACGATTGCGCGAGCAGTGGGGTTGATGACTTCAAGTTCTGCGAGGTGGATTGCGCAATGCAGATTGCACCAGAGAGGTTGCGACATGAACTGCTCGGCAGCACCTCGTCGGCGACCACCAGCAGCACCACCACGACCGGACCACAACTACTACCAGCACAGCAGCACGACGACTGCGACCAGCACCACCACGACTGCCACCAGCAGCACCACCACCACGACTGCCACCAGCAGCACCACCACCACTACTGCGACCAGCAACGGCATGGCTGCGACCAGCAGCGCCACCACGACTGCCACCAGGAGCAAAACGGCTGCGATCAGCAGCACCACCACGGCCGCGACCAGGAGCAGCACGATTGCGACCAACAGCACTACCACCACGACTACGACCAGCAGCACCACCACCATCACCACGATCCACACTTCCACAGCCGCAACCAGCACCACGAACACGACCGCGACCAGCAGCGCCGCCATCACGACTGCGACCAGCAGCGCCACCAGCACGACCGTAACAAGCAGAATCACCAACACCCAGAATACGACCAGCAGCACCAGCACGCATTTGCACGACGACGAGCACCAAAGACACCCGCAGCACAACGCTGGCGGCGGGAGCACCAAGAGCAGCACCGCAGGCGCCACGAAGGCTGGCAACACCACAAATGGCAAAGCCACGACGGCGACCGGGCGGCAGCGCCACCACCACGACCGCGACCACAAGCAGAAGGATTACCACGAGAACCACCACCACGACTGCGACCCACAGCACAAGCACCACCACGATTAGCACCACGACTGCGACCAGCAGCACCAGCATGACAGCGACCAGGAGCGCCACGACTGCCACCAGCAACACCACGAACACGACTGCGACTTGCAGCACCACGACGAGCACCACCACCACCACGACCGCGACCAGCAACAGCACCGCGACTGCGACTGGCAGCACCACCACGACGACTGCGACCCGCAGCACCACGACCGCGACCATCAGCGGCACCACCACGACTGCAACGCGGAGACTCCCAAACCCGACTGGCTGGCATCCCCCGAATTGCGCTGCATGCGGGTATCAGCCCGAGCCGCTCGGCACCCTAACCGCGACCGGCATCACCACCCCCAACGACAGCTCCTCAACTACAACTGCGACCACCAACACCACCACCACCACGACTGCGAACAGCAGCACCACCACCACGACCGACAGCACCACCACCACCACGACTGCAACCATGAGCACAAACATCGCGACCACGACCAGCAGCACCACAACTGCGACCAGCAGAAGCGCCACCACGACTACGACCAGCAGCACCACCACGACTGCAACCAGCAGAACCACGACTGCGACCAGCAGCATAACCACCACGACCGCGACCAGAAGCACCACCACCGGCAGCAACACCGCCACGTCCGCGACCAGCACCACCACGACCGCGACCAGCATCACAACGACTACTACCAGCAACAGCACCACGACGACTGCAACCAGCAGAACCACCACGACTGCGACCAGCAGCAGCGCCACCACGACTGCCACC